GCTTGATTAGAAGTGGCTTGCCAAATGTTGCTAAAATCAGGATCATCCTCATACAACTCCTTGATCACTTCAAATCCAGTGACTTTCATCTGTAAAGAAGTAAGCAAGGCATGTCAGCGACTCAGAGCATCAGCTACACAATTCTGGACTCCAGATTTGTATTTGAGGAGGAAAGGATAAGCTTGTAGAAATTCACTCCAAGCAGCATGTCAACGACTAATCCTCTATTGAGAATTCAGGTGCTTCAATGCCCCATGGTTAGAGTACAAGATGAATTCTTTTGAAAGAAGATAATGACTCCAATGCTCCAAGGCTCGAACAATTGCATAGAATTCTTTGTCATAGGTGGAATATATGAGCTTTGTGTCATTCAACTTTTCACTGAAGAAGGCAATGGGTTGACCTTCTTGACTTAACACTGCACCAATTCCAACATTAGAAGCATCACAATCTACTTCAAACATCAGGTCAAAGTTGGGAAGTGCAAGTACAGAGGTTTTAGTGAGCTTCCTCTTTAATTCTTCAAAACTCTATTGGGCTTTGCCACTCCATGAAAATTTGTCACCCTTAAGGCTGTCAGTGATTGGGGCAACAATAGAACTAAAATTCTTGATGAATCTCCGGTAAAAAGATGCCAAGCCATGGAAGCTTCAAACATCATGCATCGATGTTGGTGTAGGCCAATTGATAATAGCCTCAATCTTACTGGGGTCCATCTTGATACCTTGAGCAGTGATAATGTATCCAAGAAATGTCACACTTGTAGTGAGGAATGAACATTTCTTGAGATTAGCATAAAGTTTATGCTCTCTAAGGACTTTAAAAACTTGCAGGAGATGGTCTAGGTGCTCTTATTCATTCTTGCTATATACCAGGATATCATCAAAGTAAACCACAACAAATTTCCCAATGAAGAGTCAAAATACCTTGTTCATAAGGTGCATGAAAGTGCTAGGAGCATTAGACAATCCGAATGGCATGCCCGTCCACTCATACAAACCATCTCTAGTTTTGAATGCTGTCTTCCATTCATCACCGGGACGCATTCGAATTTGGTGATATCCACTTCTCAAATCAATCTTTGAGAAGACAGTAGCTCCATGCAGTTGATCAAGCATATCATCAAGGCATGGAATTGGGAAGCGGTACTTGATAGTGATTTTGTTGACTGCTCGACTATCTACACACATTCTCCAAGTTCCATCTTTCTTTGGGATGAGTAGCACAGGCACGGCACATGGGCTAGCGCTTTCCTTAACAAGTCCTTTCTCCATCAGTTCTTTGACTTGTCGTTGAAGTTCCGCATACTCTTGAGGGTTCATCCAATAAGCAGGCTTGTTTGGGATGACAGATCCTGGGATGAAATCAATGGCATGCTGAATGTCTCACATTGATGGTAATCTATGAGGGATCTCATCAGGAACAACATCAGAAAATTCTTCAAGGAGAGATCAAATTTCTTCTGGAAAGGGCAAGTGGCATCATTTACTTTGGATAATAGTAGGAGACATGCTATTCCCGACTCTTGGTGCAACTTCTGAAAGGTTGATCTGGAGATTAAAGCCTTGTCCTCATCCTTCTTTTCAAGTGTTTCTTCAGGCTTCAGGGGAGTGAGCTTGACCTTCACACCATCTTTCACAAACGAGTAGGTGTTGGCATGGCCATCATGGATAGCCTTTCAGTCAAATTGCCAAGGGCGACCAAGTAACAAGTGACAAGCATCCATAGGAATAACATCACACCATACTTCATCTTGGTACCTATTACAAATAGAAAAAGACACAAGGCAATGTTTAGTTACTTTTACCTCGTTTCCTTTTCATAGCCATTGTAACTTGTATGGATGGGGATGATCTTTGACAGGCAGGCCTAGCTTCTCAACCATATAATTTGACACAACATTCTCACAACTTCCACTATCAATGATGACATTGTAGACTTTCCCTCAAGAAGTGCATTTGGTATGAAAGATGTTATGTCGAAGCCAATCTTCATCCTTGGTTATGGTAGCATGAAGACTACGACACATAACCAAAGATTCTCCATGGTTAGCTGGGATGAGTTCTTCCTCAAGTTGGGGTGACTCAGTTTCATCATTTTGCTCATTTTCTGCTTCATCTTATGAGGCTTCATGAATTTCTCCTCTAATAATGGTAACAACTCTCCTATTTGGATAGTCGAAGGCTATGTGGCCAAATCCTTGACACTTGAAACACTTTCAAGTGCTATATTGAGCTGGATGACTCAAGCTGACTTCTTTCTCAGTCTTGGCAGGGGTCTTAGCAACAGTTTTTGAGGCTTGAGTCCTTCGATTGGTTCCAAAATCTTGCGGTTTTGAAGCACTAGTGATATTCTTCTTTGAGATTTGCTTTTCAACCCTCAATGCTAGTCGAATTACATCATCCAAAGTCCAATATTGTTGAAGTTGAACAACTTTGGAAATGTCATAGTCCAATCCTCCAAGATATCGAGCTATGGTTTGCTCGTCCTTTTCCCGAACATCACACTTCATCATTAATTGTTCGAACTCCATAGTATATTCTTCCACAGTCAAAGATTTTTGTTGCAAGTTATGAAATTTAACAAAATTATCTTGGTAGTAACGGTCAGTTAAAAACTTACGAGTGAGCTCCCGATGCATTTTCTCCCAAGTTCTAATTTTGCTGCGGCCTTCTCTTTCTTGACTACGTTTGAGATTCTCCCACCAAATGGATGCATGTTTCTTTAATTTGATGGCGACGAGCTTCACACGCTTGTCGTCAAGAATATCCTTGAGTTCAAACACACGTTCCACAATGTGCAACCAGTCAATAAATTCATCGGGTTGAAGGCGACCTTCAAAATCTAGAATATCGATTTTGATGCCAAGGTCAGTGGATTTGGGAGCAGCATTTTGTTGGGGAGGTTGTCGATGACAAACTTTTCCTGTTGATGATGAGCTTTCATTATCCCTTAGGTGATGGAAGGGATTCTCGTCGTCAGTATCTTCTTCTGACTCATGTGGTTCATCTTGCAGGTGTTGAGCTTGTTGTCCCTCAAAAACTTCGAGTCTCTCTTGAAGCCTTTGAATTTGTTAACGTAGTTCTTCCATCTCTATGTCCCAAATAGTGCGTTGACGAGGAGGATTTTGTCTTCTAGGAGGCATGATGAGTTTAGGTTGGTAAAGGGCTTTTTGGAAAGTTAGTATTTGACGGTAGGGGTAATTTGAAATTTATAAAATTATGGGGTCAATCTGTAAGGTCAAAATAAGTTGAGGGACTTGATGACGTGGTAAAAGAGTGCGGCTACGGTGATGACGTGTCACTAACATGGCAAGTGATGCGGCATAGATGACGTGGCAATATATGATGTGGCAGTGATTAGATGATGACGTGTCGATGACGTGGCTGATGACGCGTCGATGACGTGGCGAATGAGAGGTTGAAGATGACCGGCGCGTGATTTTCACGCGATTTGCAGTGGTGCAAGTGGCTGGCGTGTGAGACAACGACGGTGGCATGTGGAGGCGCATGCTACCTTGTTTGTCGACCGGGTTTTCATCAGAACGTTCAAAATGACGTGCAGACTCCAAATATATTGGCTCTGATACCAAATGGCGTAGGAGCCGATACCGAAACACCAATTTTGGCGGGATTTAAAATCTCACTACGATAAATTCGATTGTTAGGTTCACCACTTAGGTTGGCAAGACCTAAGATACAGAGATAAATTGAGAGAATCCACTCTCAAGAAACTCACTCAACAAAGGAGAATTATAAACTAAAATTTTTGGATTAAAACTTATACATACAACAAAGGGAACATAACTAATTATAAGCAAAATCTAACATAAGGCAATAAATGAAAAGTGAAAATACAGTTGGGAGTTAGCCATCTTTGTGGAATTTAGTGGCCATTTTTGACAAAATTGCACCGGCCTATTTGTAGTCTGCATAATGTAATATGAAATTTGTTGACTTAAAATCCTGGTGCACTTTCCTAGTGCTTTCCCCCGGTGCAGGTTTGAATGATCCAGATGTTATTAGTCCCGACTATACATTTTGGGGTTCAGTCCACTAATCTTGTAATTCTTTTGCGGACTATTCAGATTGCAGAGCATCATTGGCAGAAGCAGAACTACTACTTGGAACAGCAGTACTAGTTTTTACCGTCAACACAATGGTCATATCCTCCTATCAAAGCCCAAGACGAAAACTCTGAACTTGATAATGTCTTTTCTCGTTACAATTGCTGTCACAAATATGTATAGTCGTAGGCATCATTTCAGTCTTGATACATTGGTATACATATTGGAAGGTTATTGTGTCACCCTTGGTTTGAGGCCTTCACCGAATTGAGCCTTCCTGGTGGTTAATTGAAGGATTTGGAGAGAATCTGCTCTGTAAACTAGGGCTTAAATTAGAAAAAGACGGACACATAAACGCACGACTTTTGAGAGTCTGATAATGTGGCCCTTTCTCTTTTCCGATCCAGTTTTCGTTTTAGTCCCTGCAAATAAAAGTTTCATGAGTTTTCAGTGAAGGTCCAAAATAATAAATTCTTAAGTTAATCCCCCTTTTAAACATAATCTCCAATGTTTTGCGCCCCAAAAAACGTTGAGGAAAAGATTATTCTTGACATTAATGAGTGACTAAAAGAAGTGATAAGTCAATCAACAACATTTGCCAGTGTTAATATCAAAAGAATTGATTGTGACTAAAAGAAGTGATAAGTCAATCAACAACATTTTCCAGTGTTAATATTCAAAAGAATTGACTGTAAAGTTGAATATATATATATGCTAAGTCCTTGTTTTCTTTGGACTATAGATCCACCTGCCTTTTAAGTCTTTCTTCCAACAACAAAATGCAAGCTTAGGTGTTCGGTCTTTCCAAAGGGATTAGGGCAAGTCAAGGTCAAACACTGAGAACAAATGCTAATTTTCTAATGTAATAATAGTGAATTACACTGATCAAGTTTACTCTAGGCAAACCTATGAAACTCTGATATTGGTCCCGTGAATTTTCAAATAGATATGGATTAGAGTAGAGATGATGGTTTCAATTGAAATTTTGCCAATGGTCTGTCATATTTCTACCAGTTTGTGGAAACCCCAAATAATATCTAATGGAATGCATTTGTACCAAAAATGTGCAATATCACCACTACTTTCAGAAGTTATCTCTGTTATATGTGCAATTGCAGGAGTAATTGTTGTGTCATTCTTCCTATTTGGTTTCAAGGAAAAACAAAGAGCAGTCTTGTGGATCTTTATCGAAGGAGCCATTTAGGCAACTTTCTTATGAAGCTCTCCTCCAAACAACAGACGGGTTTCTTCGACAAATTTAATTGGCAAAGGGAGCTTTGATTCTGTCTATAAAGGAGTTCTTCAAGAAGATGGAACTAATGTTGTAGTTAGAGACTTAGAGTGCTTTATCTTGAGCATGGAGGAGCTTCTAAGAGTTTCACAGCAAAGTGTGAAGCCTTAAGGGACATTCGTTATCGCAACCTTGTAAAGATCATATCTTCTTGCTCCAGCATTGATTTCAAAGGCAATGATGTCAAGGCTTTGATTTATGAGTTGATGGCCAATGGAAGCCTGGAAAATTGGCTGCATTCATCAGTTCAGGAAACAAATAACGGCCAAGGCAAAGTCTAGAGTCTAAATCTTTTGCAGAGGATAAGCATTGCTATTGATGTTGCTTCTGCTCTAGATTACCTTCATCACCCTTGCTTGAATCCAATTGTTCATTGTGATTTAAAGCTGAGCAATGTTCTTCTGGACATTGACATGACTGCTTATGTTGGAGATTTTGGGCTTGCAAGATTTTTTTCAGAGCTAACAATGCCAAATGAAAGTAGCTCAGTTGGAGTGAGGGGAACAATTGGTTACGTTGCTCTAGGTGATCCAAATATAATAATACTTTATGATTTCAATCTTTTTCCATATTTCCTTAGCATTTTTTTTTGTTCAATCTAACCTATTGGTTTTCGCCAATGGCAGACTATGGCGTGGAAAGTGAGGTTACAATGCAGGGGATTGTATCCAATGATGGAATGGAATCCTAGTGTTAGAAGTGATAACAGGAAAGATACCCACAGATAATACCTTTGAAGGGGACCTTAACCTTATAATTATGCCAAAATGGCCTTTCCCGATCAAGTTGTGCAGATTGCAGAACCAAAGCTGCTACACGAAGCTGCAGCCAGTATTAACAGACGGATTCGTGCACGGGCAGCAAGTAGTAGCAACACGATGAACTGTCTGGTCTCTTTGATTAGGAATAGTGTGGCATGTTCCATGGAGTCACCTCAAGACTGGATGGGCATTTGTACCGTTCTCACTGAGCTGCAACTTGATCAGGAACAATCTTCTACGAGGCCAAGCAAACAACAGGCATAACTAGTCCAACCTCTAGGTCGAATGATCTTTAAACATATTTAGCTATGCAATAAGTAGAAAGTGTTCTGCTGTTCTTATCTTTTCTTTTTTTCCTTAAGGCAAGGAAAGCTGAAGTGTAGTGTTGGATTGCATTTGGCGTGTTTGAAGCACGATTTCTCTATTCTACTATTCTTGAAACTAAAAATAAAGGACGATAGAAAATGTTGGTAACTGGATTGTTTTTTCATTGATTCTAATTAGTTGTTTATGGTAAAATACAAATGGAAGACTTATCAACCCAAAGTTACCTCCACTGATCCACGGCTAAACAAGTGTCTTAGGTTAAAAGGTTAAGTTTCGAGGTTACTCACATTTAACAGTAAATTAAATTAAAAAAAAAACTCACCGTGGCATTCACGTCTATCTTGACAACATGCATCATTGAAAGGGTTGAAAAACTGAATGGATTAGATGGAAACCACCATTTCTTGAACTAAATCCACTGAAGCCACTAAGAAATATCTTCAGGGGACATGGCAGACAAAGAAGAATATCCCAAGTCATGACCTCTAGTCCACCATTTCTGTACAACCATGGCAGAATCGGCCACATAGCAGAGAATGGAGCCTCCTTTGGTTGAGGCCTTCACCGAATTGAGCCTTCCCCGTGGTTAATTGATGGATTTGAAGAGAATCCACTCTGTGATCGCCAGCTTGGCCCCAATCGGGCTAGAGAAGGGGGGAGAAAGAAGAAACGCTTGAATTTTGTGCGTTTTGTTCATTTCAATTTGATAAATTTTGTTTTCTGCTCTTTCTCTTCTGAACTTCTAATAATTTAGTCCCTTTTCTTTTCCAATTTTCATGTTAGTCCCCATTTTGGTCTCAGAAAGGAAATCACAATTAAAGTTTTTTGAGTTTTCAATTGAGTCCAAAATAGTAGTAAGAAAATCCTTAATTAATCCCTCCTTTAGACAAAATATCTAGAGTTTTGAAATGATTAATTGTAAAAAATTGAATCTTTTCAATAAATTACAAATTAAAAAAAAAACAGATTTAAATTTATATTTTAAGATTTTGATTTTCAAAAATTGATTAATTTTAAAAAATGTGATTAATTAAGAAATTGATTCAAAGTTCATAAATTAAGAAAATGAGCGTATTACACTAAGCTTGCTCTTTTATGACCTTTTTCTTCTTTTTTGCACAAGAGTAAGTTGTAAAAACACTAGCTAATAATAATAAAAATAAATAATAAGCTGTAAAACATGAAATGTTGAAATGGGAATATGGGATGATTCCTTTCCAATTATAAGCAATCCTTTTGGTGCCAAAGTTCCAGCTCAAAATAAATAAATAAATAATCCAGCAATAATTAAAATTACCACTGCGAACAGAAAAAATAACAGTTTCTAGTAGGCCAGTGAAAAGGTCAATGCAATTATAGAAAGCCAAAAAAGGATGCCAATTAATCAATTGCAGAGTAAAAACATTAAGGAATTGATTATCCTTGACATTAATGAGTGACTAAAAGAAGTGATAAGTCAATCAACAAAATATGGTATCTTGCTCCTGACCTGTAAATTACAGAGACATCTAAGTGCCTGTTTTGGCCAATGGGATATTTAGAACTTGCATGGCTAAGTCTTTGGACCTACATTCTATCAGCAAACCACTTGTTTAGACTTGATGTTAACTTTAAGGTGAACAAAGACCTCACAGTATCCACAAACTTTATGAATCTCTAATATTGGTCCCATGAATTTTCAAACAGACATGGATTAGAGATGATGGTTTCAATTGAAAATTTGCCAATACTCATTTGTACCAGTTAGTGGAAACCGCATATAATATTCTAATGAATGTGTTTGTCCCAGAATATGCAATATCACCACCAATTTCAAAAAGATGCTATTTTTTTGGGTATATGAATGATTACCGCAATGTTATGTTCAAAGATGGCTGCTTCAATATAGAGTAAAGGTGAAAATAAGGATTCTAACTTTGCATTTTTTTTTTTATTTAAAGATGTTAATTTTGTCATTTTTTAAGTAAAGATGTCAATTTTCAATTTTTTTCTATTTAAGGATATCAATTTTGAACTTTTTCTATTTAAGGATGTCAATTTTTAACTTTTTCTATTTAAAGATCAATGGGTAGTGATGCTAACATCGGCTAACATATTTTTTTAGGTTAAATATATGAATTGGTCCCTTAAATTTTATACTTTAACCAATTCATCCTTAAACTTCAAAAAGTACTAAAAACATCCTTCAATTTCAATTTTCAATTTCGTCTTTCCATCAGTTAAATGTTGTGTAGCTAATTTTTTTGCTAAGTGATTGATTATTTTACATTTTCAATATTAGGTAGAAAATCCATCATGTAAAAAATGATTATATGGATTTTTTTAATTTTAAATAATTTAAAAACTACTTTAATTCTTAATTTTACTTTATTCATATTTAAAAATTAAAACTTGATATATTTTCCCATTTAATTAGTCCCACCTACCATTTAATAAAATTAAATAAAAGTTAATTAATTTTTCCATGAATTAAGAAATAATTTTATTAATTAAAAATTGAAGTTAAAGGATGTTTTCGATACTTTCTGAAGTTCAAGGATGAATTAGTTAAAAAATAAAAGTTGAGGAACCAATTTAGGTATTTAACCTAAAAAATATGTCAACTGGGCATTACCACCCATTAATCCTTAGATAGAAAAAGTTGAAAATTGACATCCTTAAATAAAAAAAAAATTAAAAGTTGACATTCTTACTTAGAAAATGATAAAGTTAACATCTTTAAATAAAAAAAAGTACAAAGTTGAAATCCTTATTTGTACCTTTACTCCTTCGATATAATATTTAAATCTAAAAACTTATTTAAATTGAAATTTTAAGATTTTGATTTGCAAAAATTAATTAATTTTAAAAAATGTGATTAATTAAGAAATTAATTCATAATTCATAAAATAAGAAAATCAACCTATTACACTAGAGTACTTTTTTTTATAATGCTTCTCGGTAATTTAATTTTTAGTTTTTATATCTTTTTATCATTTTAAAATATAAAAAAAATATTAATTAAAATAAATATTAAATATATTAAATCTATTTTATGCATTTTCAAGATATTAAAAGGCTAAAAAACTAATAACTACATCTCTAGGTGAGCACTCCTA